TAATTTGTCGAACCCCTCCGTCTAAACGAAAGTAAAGTAATTAACATCTGGCGACCGTGACAGGACCTTCTGGAGGGTAAAGAACATTCCGCAATCGAAGTGTTTAGTACGGCGCGAATTACGTGCAATCTAACCTCTGCACTCGTGTGCAACAGGGCGTTCGTATTTTTGGAAGAATTACGTTACGCGAACGCTTACTCAAGAGCGAGAAAATGGATGCTGCCAAAAAGCAGAGGAAAGCTCTGCGAACGAGCTTCACGAAGGCGCTCAACGCCTTTACGGCCAAAATGGACGTCGAAGGGCCGCGGGAAGAAAAGATGGTAGCGTTTCAGTTTCTTGAAACCAAGATGGCAGAGTTGGATACGGTACATTCCATGTACAACCAATTGCTTTTCCAATCGGATGCGAACGACGACACCATTATGAAGGAGCTTGAATCGGACGATCTGTATAAGACGAACTTCATTACGGCAAAGATGAAGATGGTAAACCTGACGCCGACGACGTCGGTCGACGTCCCAAGGACAGTTTCCAACGCCGTCCACACAGCGAAACTCCCGAAGTTAGAACTGCCAAAATTCAGTGGCATGATCAAGGAGTGGCTTCCGTTCTGGAGCCAGTTTAAGAAAATACACGACGACCCGGCGATCAGTAATGAAGATAAGTTCCAATATTTGCAGCAAGCTACGCTCCCGGATTCTCGTGCCAAGGAGATCGTGCAAAGTTTCCCGCCAACGGGAGAAAATTATGTGAAAGCGATCACGAGTTTAAAAAATCGTTTTGGACGAGAGGACATTATTGTAGAATTTTATGTGCGGGAGTTGCTCGGTTTGGTATTGCAGAACGCGGTGAAGGGACCCAAGAAGGCATCGTTGGCGAGTGTATATGATAAACTTGAGTGCTACATTCGTGCATTGGAAACGTTGGGCGTGACAACGGACAGATGCGCCGCCATGCTCTATCCTTTAGTCGAATCGTCGCTTCCTGAAGAAGTACTACGCGCATGGCAACGCAGCGGACGAGAGAGACCGGAAGATAATGAAGGACGAGAAATTACCGACCGACTTTCTAATCTTCTCAAATTTTTGCAACGCGAGGTCGAGAATGAGGAACGCATCGACATGGCGCTGACAGGATTCGGATTACCGGCGGAACAGGCGAAGAAGCAGAAGAGCAAGATAGAAGCAGCGAAAGAAACACCCAGCGCTAGTGTTCTTCTTGTTTCTAAAGACCCTAAGCCCGCGGAGTGCATATTTTGTAAATCGAGTCACGAGAGTCAGGTCTGCGAAAATGCGCGAAAATTAACGCTCGACGAGCGAAAAGAGATCGTAAAGAAAGAAAGATGCTGTTTTAATTGTCTAAAGCGCGGACACGTGTCTCAAAAATGTAAGGTTAAATTGCGATGCGATTGGTGTTCGAGACGACACGTGTTAGTGATGTGCCCGGGTATAGTCCGCAAAGAAAATGTTCCGCCGAATAAACCAGAGAATAAAGATCCCGCGAAAACCACGGAAGAACATAGTTTAGCCACGCTGTGCGAAATGCGAGACGTTTATTTACAAACGCTTCGCGTAAAGTTGTACTCGCAGTCACGAGAGAAAATAGTAAGAGCGGTAATAGATACAGCCTCCCAGCGATCATACATCCGCACGGATGTCGCAAGAGAATTAGGTTATGTTTCTCTGGGCAAGCAGGAGATTTCCCATTCTTTGTTTGGCGGGGTTAAATCAGAATGTAAAACACATGATGTATTTTTGATACGGCTAAAAAATCTCGATGATTCTTATGCGTGCAATTTTTCGGTAATGGATCAGGAAACTATTTGTTCTACAATTCAAAGCATTAGAAAAGATAAGTGGGTCGATGAATTACGGGATCAAAATATTCATTTAACGGACATTGGAGAGAACAGTAGCTCGATAGATGTTCTTATTGGCGCGGACGTAGCGGGCAAATTAATAACGGGCCGCAAATACGATTTAAAGAACGGTCTGATAGTCTTCGAAACACGGTTAGGATGGACGGTGATAGGAAAATTGCCGAAAGAATCTCAAAGGGTCGACGCGGCGGTAATGATCACTACATTATTCGTACAGGAGGCCAATATATCAGATCTATGGCGTTTGGATGTGGTCGGTATTTCGGACCCGATCGAAAAGGCGAGTAAATTAGTTAGAGAAGAACAAACGCGAGAATTTTTAAAGCAAACAGCTAAATTAAATGAGGAAGGTCGGTATGAAGTTAGATTGCCATGGGTAGAGGATCACGCGCCTGTTGCTAGTAATTATAACACTGCACGTTTAAGATTAAAGAAATGTATAGAAAGGCTAACGACACAGCGTCTTCTGAAAGCGTACGACGAAGTTTTTAAGCAATGGCTATCCGAGGGTATTATTGAGAGAGTACCGGACAAAGAAGTTAATGATTTAGGCCATTATTTACCACACCGCCCGGTAGTAAAGACGCATGGCACGACTAAGATTAGACCAGTGTTTGACGCGTCGGCGTGCAATAAAGGTTACCCGTCTCTAAATCAGTGCCTGGAAAAAGGGCCGAATTTAATCGAACTAGTGCCTTCAGCCTTAAACAAGTTTCGAGAAGGCGAAATTGGAGTCGTGTCAGATATAAAGAAAGCATTTTTACAAATAGTTATTAACAAGACAGACCGCGATCATTTACGTTTCTTTTGGATAGTCAACAATGAAATTGTAATCTTCCGACATTGCCGTGTAGTGTTTGGTCTGACATGTAGTCCCTTTTTATTAGCTGCGATTATTGAGTTGCATCTATCAAACGTAAAGAAAAACCCGGAGTTAATAGCAAAATTAAAAGGATCGTTTTATGTAGACAATTGCGTTACGAGTGTAAACTCAGAAGACGAATTGAAAACGTTCAGAGAAGAAGCCACGTCGGCTATGGCGTCCGGGGGGTTTGAACTTCGGGGATGGGAAAGCTCAGGGGACTTGTCGGAAAACGAAACAACATTGGTCCTCGGCGTCTTATGGAATAAAGGAAGAGATACAATAGCGATTAATCCGGCCATATTAAAAAGTAACTATCCGGAAGTCGTAACGAAAAGAGAAATCTTGTCCACCACGCACAAAGTATTCGACCCCATTGGGTTCACATGCCCTGCGTCTTTACTGCCTAAATTGTTACTCAAAGAATTATGGACGGAGAAAATAGACTGGGATACGGAGATTACAGATAGTCGTAAGGATAGGTTTTTATATTGGCTAAAAGAATTACCTATGTTAAATACAATCGAAATCTCAAGAAAACTCGGTAGAGGTAATCTGACGCTACATACGTTTTGTGATGCGAGTGCGTCGGCCTATGCGGCAGTTGTTTTTGCGAGAATTGAAAACCTAGATACACGTGTAATAGAAGTTAGGTTGTTAAGCGCTAGGTCACGTATAGCCCCGGAAAAGGCAACAATCCCGCGTCTCGAATTGATGGCAGCCAC